GCTGAACAATTATTTGTAATAAGTTTGAAATTCTGACATATCTTCACTGGAATTATTGGCCAATAATCCTCCCGAGTAAATGTCTGGTATAAACTTCATTTTAGCGTCACGATATTCATTGATTAAGGCTTGACGTGTGGGCTCTTCTGAATGCAAAATACGAGTATTGTGGGATCGAACACGGGCACCTCTGTAAAGTAAAGCGTCATACCTCTGGAGTGCATTTTTTGCGTTAGCGATTTCGGTTGTATAGCGACCGGGGGCCTCACGCTCAAATTCATATGGATTTTGAAAATTTTCCTTTAGCATGCTTTGTTATAATTTTCTGTAGAAGCCCCTCACAGATCCAATTTCTATAGCTATTGCCCGAACTTCTTGTTTGAATAATTCCCAAGAGGCGAACAAAGGCATGTCAGCCGACAAACAGTTCCTCAGTGCTACGTGGACGCGTGCAGTAAACTCCTGGTCGCTCACAATTGAGGAGTCGAGTTTCCAAAGTGCCCATTGTAGTCTGAAGTTAGATCGCAACTTGCTACCTATCTGACCCACAACAATGCAGCGATCTTAAAAGAAAATAGGCTCTGTTGTGCATGACACGTCGCGGGAAATAAGTGGTGCTGAAATGTTAGTGCGATCAAGGGACGTATGTGTACTTCCTTGTGCATGCGTATACGAGGGCGGGTTGTTTAATGATCCTATACCAATTAGTCCCGCATTTTCAACTATAAGCAAGAGTACTTCAGCACTCCTGTCATTGCGACTAAGCCTAGTACACTCGGATGGATTGCAGGCATAGTTGAAATTACCCATGAGCACAATGTTATGGTCAGGATGTAACAAGGTAGCCAAACTTTCAAAAAAACTAGTGTGCCGTAGTGCATCGCTAAATGCATACACGTTGATTAGGCGCCACGGCAAGCCATACAACACGAAATCACATTGTATCAGCGGCCCTTCTTGGTCAACACTATATGCTATGGATGAATACGGTAAACTCTTTCTGAGAAACAGAAGGCAGCCCGCCGAAAGACCCACGGCATACGACACAAATGCATAAAATACAGAGAGAAGGCCGTAAAGCCCTTTCTGTATACACTTCACTCTCGATCTTCGTTTCTTGAACGGCGACGAAATCGAGATGTCGGCTGAAGAGCAACCGGCGGAGCTGCACCTGTTTCTGCTTGGATCGTAGTTGACATACGTTGACCGTTGCAAAAGTAACTCTCTGGGGCCGCGCCATGGTGTCTGTATATTTTTTAGAGTCGCATCAGCCGGTCTGGTGGAGAAGGTTGTGTGAATGCACCTTGTTACCAGTACCCGGCTTGCTTGATCTTGAGAGTCTGCACTTTTCTGCTGGCTGTGATGTCTTCCGACGGTGTGACTGACGAGGACATGCAGTCGAGTCGCTTTGCTAGCTTGTCGCGGAGTTGGGTGATGCTCGGCGTTTACTTATATGAAGGCATCGGTGCATTCTTGCACATTTTTGCAGTCATCTCCGTATCTAGTGCCTCATTATCAACCCTTCGTTCGAGGCTTTCTTTACGAGTGTCTTCCGACCCAGATACAGGGACCACCTGCTTTTCCCCACTGTCTTTCGCACCATCTTTCGATGCTTGTTCGGATGTCTCCGCTACATCCCAGTGATTAGCTTCGTCCGAGGCTTTCTTGGCAGCACAGGGTTCAACCACTACGGAACGTGGAAGGTCGCCAGTTGCTTCAAGGACTTCCGTTGCATCCACAACTTCTTCTTGCAAAGCGTCATCAGGTGGTCGTATGCGATGGCGCAATTTGTTGGCACACGTCGCCACACATTCTTCAGCCGTGTGTTCGAACCATCGATAATCCTCGCAGCACGGTGTCCAACCGTGACGACGAATGTGTCCTACTCTGTTGCAGCGCAGGCGTAATGGTGGTCTGCCGGGAATGAGCAGGAGGCTTTGTAGACCGCAAACCGAGAGTAGGTGTGAGATGTCGCAAACACGGACTTCATCCGCGAGTGTGAATATGACACCTTGGTTAAGGGTGCGCATCTGTTCCATCTCAGACACTCCCCAAGTTTCCGCTGTAATTTACTTATCTTTCCGAATGACTGCAAGTTTTCATGCACCTTGATATCTCCTAGATACTCAGGGAGCTATAATAACTTAATTTTAACTTCCGTGGGCTCAGGGTCTATCACAACACACCTTCGATTTCGAACGAAGAATTCACCGCAGCTTACAAGCTTCGTTTTCCCTGTAGCGTTGTCCTGCAAGTCACCATTAAAACATGGGACATTTGAAAATGTCCCATCGAGGTTACATCTCTAAGGTCTATGATATTACGGCAGGCATCTCGAAACTCCTGCACTCGGTATGGACGACCAGCAAGGTCTGCATGCAGAAAAACAGAGGAAGCGACGAGCTTACCACTGGGAAGACGGTACAGGATGATGCGGTATTCATTACTGCTAGTAAAAACCTGAGCAGTGTCTCGGGTTGAAGCCGATTGATCCTTTGTGGCGGAGAACGCCAAAAACACAACCGTTCGTTTGTTTGTTTCCCTGGACTCATGGCTCACACCCACTCAGGGGGATTGGCCAAGAAAGCGTACTGCATTTTTTTTTCTGTGGGCATTATAACTATGTGTAATGAATTTGTATTATAATATGACTAATGTAAGGAGAACCACATAAAAAGAGAGCAAACGAAGAAAGAAAAAAATGAAAGTGTCAAGTTGAGAAAATTTTGAGATTTCAGGTGTTGTGATTATCACCCAGCTGCGTTTACTTCACCTCATCATTTAGAATTTTTGGGGCTAACAAATAATAATTATTTGATTGAAGATCCCAAAGGTATACGTTTGGATGCCTGAATATAATCGCAAACGGCATTGAAAGCATCTCTGTGGCAATGTCCCAAAACTGAGGCACCAAAGCTTAGTGCAGTTTCCGCCATCAATCTAACGCCTATTTTCAGAAATGAAATAACTAGAAGACTTTTTCGAAGTATAACGTATCGGCGACAATACAAAAAGTAATGTTCTATTGATTCCATTTCTCCGTAGAATGCGCAGAGGGGTGATATTGTCTGACCAGCTCTGTGTAGACACAGGTTTAGGGGGGGGGGGGGCGTTCCGAACGGCGTCTTCGTCTTTCTCCTCAGCTACTCTGGTGCTTGTGACTTGTTGGCAAACTTGCCTTAGGCAGGCTTGATGTCGGTAAAGAACTCGTGTTAATACGATTTATAAATCGTTTTAAACTAGCAAAAGAACAAGAAGTCGTCGCACAATGCAAATAGCGTAACGAGTGGGTCGTCCAAAAGTCCAACCCATAACAAAAGCTTGTTCTTGATAACCTATTACCTGCGGTGCATGCTCACTTTAGGCATAATTCCTCATAGCCGTGATCCACTGCATGGCACGATATTCCTTGCAATAGTTTAGCGGATACCACGCTTCTCAGAAGAGGGACAAAAAATAGAATAGCGAACGCCGTCCTACCACCCTAAATTTTTATTAATAATGCCGTAGTGGGCATCAAGCAAGTTTGCTTGCAGCAGTTACCCAATGAGTGTTTAAAAAAGCCTCTGAAAGGCCGCTCTTCTAGTTTTCGCTGTGACTGTGCTGCGCCTTCGGCGCAGGCCTGGCGTTTTTCGCTTTGCGCAGGAAGACCGCGCCTTTGAACTCGGCACCCAACCGCAACGTCTACAATGAGTATAGAGGTGCCCCCTGGTACCTCGTACGGACCACCTGGCTACATGCTACCAAGCCCTTGCGTCTGTCCTATCCATAGGCGTGCGCAGAGTTCCACTTTGGGAGGGGGGGGGGGTCCGTTGCTGTGTCCACTTCTCTATTATGTCAATGTTGGGCGGACTTAGCGCCCCCTCCCTGTTATGTAACTCTATGGGGCTGGCTTTACGCCCCCTCCCCTCTAGAGTGAATAGAGCCCCCCCCCCCCCCCCACGTTCTGTGCGCACGCCTATGGTCCTTTGTGTAGGCTTCCATCGATCAAGGACAATTTGTAAACTACCCCGAAGTACAATGTATGAAGAAGTTGGCGTGCCGTTAGTTATGCGCAAAGCGATTATTTTTGCGCATCATTGCGAATGCTTTTTCATACTTCAATGGTGCCGTGAAAACAGCTCTTATTCTAAGCACATGTATCAAACCATTTTTAAGTGTTTGCAAACAGGTGATGACAAATAATCTGATTTTCTGACTCTGAGTCAGTCTAAGAATAAATATTATACGTTGAACATAGGAGGCAAGGGCAAAAAAGGGGCGATGAACTTGTTGACCGGAAAATCTTAATGTTGGTTTCTTGGGTCAAGTTCTACCAGGCAGCCGTTAGGACGTGCTCGTTCATGAATAAAAGCAAACAAACGCAACAAGTGCCACACGTATTGGGGGATAGGTCAAATTCAGTAACAAACTAATATATGGCTTGCACCGACGTCCCTCGCACATCCATGTTGGACAACCAACATGGCGGCGCGCGCTTGGCGATGTCGCGTTGCTGTTTTCAGTGCGTCGTATGCTGGTTCTTTTATTCATGCACAGAGCCCCTATAACATTCCGGTGGCAACTTTACCACACCGACGAAAGTTAATCGCCACGTGATAATACGGCCTTGACGTCATCAAGGCTGTAGTTTGGAGCCATGTTGTGCGTCCAGGAGGTCACGTGCAAACTGTCAATAAACCGAGCTGCTGTTGTGCGACCTGCGATGCATGGCCGGTGCACTTCGGCCTCCTGACTCGACAGGCCGAAAATGGCGTTCATCGCAGACCAGCTCTCATTTTTGGGTTTATGTTTCGCATTACTTGTCAATCATCACATTATGGTTATGGCTGGACAGGCATAGATGCACACAATGCACACAGTTTCGTTCATCTTTCCTTTGGCTATGATCTTACTTTACGCTTTCGCATCTGCGGGCGAAACCTGCTGCTGTTGTATAGATTCAATTCGGCTCGAGCTCAGTTGCTGAAAAATAAGCGACGCACAACCACTGCACTTACATGAGATGTATGCGTGCACGCTGGCTCGACGTTCACGTAAATGGAGTCTGTAACGACGTGTCCATCAAGCACTGCGAAGGCCACCACTCGGAAGCTTGGCGTCATCTCAGGCGTGACACGAATTACTATGTTTTCCTCGATTCTTTTTCCTATATGCAGCTTCTTGACCTGCTGTGCCCTCCCCTTGGACAGAACCTGTAAAAATAACAAACTTAATGAAGCCATTTGAATGACAACTTTAAAAAGCTAAATAAACTCAAGTTTTAAGTCAGTGACGAAAGAATTTTTCTTTAGGTGTTAATCGCTCTAAATATGTTTATTTTCTACATCGCATACGCTTTAAAAATATGGATGTTATATACGTTTGCATGGATAGTTACTGCATAAAATAGAAAGGGGAATGCATGAAAATACACTCCATTATTTAAGCGCATACGCTTGCTTTATTAATCATACATTTTCAGACTCAGTGCAGTTTATAAATGAAGGACAAAGAGATAAGCTGTACAGATTTATAAGAAAAAGAAAACATCTCACCGCGTAGTAGACTGAGGAAGTAATTTTGTCGACGCGATTTGTGAACAAAGCAGCTTCGTACAATTGATTTGCCTGAAAGAAAGGGCAGTTCCTTTAGAGCATGATGGCGTTTTAGACCATTTGTTTTGTGAAACATACGCTTCAAATACACTTTGTATATGGCCCAAAAAAGGCTTTTGAAAAAAAAAGCACCCACAACGAAGGATTAACTTCATCTAGAAAACGTTGCCTTGTTTACGAAAATTGATCATAACTTCGTTATGAAAATTAACGCGTAATTCTGAATTATCTTCTAGCAAACTGCGCAGCAGACGGGACACAAAAAAGGAACAAAACGAGACAAACAAGCACAGACTCACAGCTGATTCAATGAAAACGTAATCGACGCTAAAATAGGTGCAGCAAAGGGCTATGTGTCACGGGGAAAGTTTATCAGTGCGCCGCAAAACGCACACACGACAAAGAAAAATTATACAGGAGCCCTTGTCTGGCCACGTAAGTCAACAGTGGCATGTAGGACTCGGATATGCATATATACATTATTTTTTCCCGTGAGAACAAAGAAATATAAGATATCCTGTCGCATATAAAGTGATAGAAATATTTCCAAGCACCAAAAATTTAAATAAATCGCACTGTCATATGCTCCAAATCTTGTGTGACACATTCATCATTCAAACCATCGGCATCAAATGTGTCACCATTATGAATTTCGAATTCTCGTAAAACAATTATCGCAGCTTGCATTACATTGCCCAAAGTAGGTCACAGTAAAACTGATGGGCAGCTGTGTCACAGCAGAGCTGGCTCTGGCTTGGTTTTAACTTCCTGAAGCTCTCTTTCCCACCCCTTGTTATACTGCATGCACTGTACATGGCTGTTTTTTTTTCTATTTTTTTTCTATATATGTTTGTGTCTTTCCTTTTTATCTCTTTCTTTCTCTGTCTATTTCTTCCGCTTTTCTGTCCTATTCTTTTATTGTATCACTACTTTTCTTTCTCCCCTCTTCTTTTCCATCTTTATCACCCCCACGTCTATTTCCTAACCCCTTGGTATTCTATACTATACTATACTATACTATACTATACTATACTATACTATACTGTGCCATCATATACTATACTATGTTAAACATGATACGCTCTGGATACGTGGCTGGAAAGCCGAGTGGTTATGACGCTGGCTTTTGGATCATGAGTGCGCTAACTCGAATCTCCCCCTGACAAGAAAGTTGTTTTCGCGAAGCACTTGTACTTTACTTATCTCTCCTTTATATCGTTTTCTCGCCCATCACAGTTATACACTGGAGAAATCAGCGCACGTTTTTGAACAAATCGGCGCACGCAGAAGAAACAGGAAGAAGAGGACGAAGGGAGCGCATGCCGTTTCAGAATGATGCTAATTTTCTTTCTACGTCATATGCCAAACCTTGAGTATCGCAGCTCTGTTGCAAAACTTCAGTGCCAGCTTGTTTGTTGACCTTCCTTTTTCATGTCGCGTGCTTATGCCGATTAGCCAAGGAGTGCTATGTGCTATAAAAATAAGCTCGCTCGGAAAGGCCTTGTCTACAAACGTAGACACTGATTTTCAGTAGTTGCGTGGAAGTCTTGCTTATACCTAGATTAAACGCTATGCGACAACTTCAATCCCTTGCCTGCCACGTGACACTTTTACAAAAGAATACATGAGGTTACTGCAGCTACTGCTTGAGTTTCATTGACCCTAATTAGCGACTCTGTTTGCCACCCGGACTTCCCTGTCGCAATGCAACTTTGAGTGCCCCATGTGGTTGGATGCGGCATTTACGAACGCATATTCTTGTATTATTCGAGTGGCCAACAGTGCGGCGTACAACTGTTGCAACAGTGAGGAGACGAAAGAGCACGTTCTATGCCGCTCTCCATACCACCAAACTCAACCACGCGTTCTAGAAGCCAAACTCTGTGGTCTTGATGCGAGATCATTGCCATAATACAAGATATTAGACTTTGTCCCATAATTTCGTACATGCATAACCCCACGAAACCCATATTGTGATATTTGAAGTCAACCCGACTTCATGAAAATTTATGAACTACCTTCTCGTGTTAGCTTTGTGTGTGCTCATTACACCAACTGTTCAGCTCTTAATTTTCTTACTCGGATCCTTCTTCGCTATCTCACCTATTATTTCCGCTTTCATCGCCCCAACATGTAGGGTTGCCAACTGATCACGTGACTAGTTTACTTGCCTGCATGGGGGTACTCCCACTAGATACCATTTGGCAATCACGGGACATTGATCTTTATAAATGCATGGCTCTTGGGAGTTTTCAAGACACTGTTAGTATTAAGCCCCGAAAAAACAACATAGCTATGCACAGTTTGCACCCTAACCTTGACTACAAATAAAAAAAAGAAAATGGCTTTTCGCCGTCAAAGGACTCCCGTCCAGCCAATGGCGTCGCCGTGTTATTGTGACGTCGCGTCTGACTGCCTTCGCGCCGCTGTCACACGAGGAATGAAAAAGCGTCTTCTTGCGCGCTTTCGGATCTAAACCAATATGGCCGCCTCCAATGCTGCGATAATCCACTAGCGTCAGTGAGATCGCGCTCTAGCAAGCTGACTTTCGTACGGTTCCCAATTATTTGAATTGCATTAAAAGACATGTTTGTACGTTGTGTGCATGCAGTGTTCGGTAACAACGATCGCCATAATATTCGCTCAAAGATAAGGCGTAATTCTGAGGAACTACTTCCCGGCGTGGACACATTCATGAAATCCTGGGTCCAAGCGCTGCCTAGTTAGTGCAGTTTGGTCTGGTAACGTTGGTGTGGTCGGCCGCTTCACGATAACATGGTGACGCCAATGACTGGAGGGGGTCCTTTAACGGTGAAAAGCCACTTTCTTCGGGACTTGCACCTGAGTATACATTAAAACACAGTGATTTCAATGGCCTCGCCACGGTGGTCTATAGTGGCTAAGGTACTCGGCTACTGACCCGCTGGTCACGGGATCAAATCTCGGCTGTGGAAGCTTCATTTCTGATGGAGGCGGAAATGTTGTAGGCCCGTGTACTAAGATTTCGGTGCACGTTAAAGAACCCCTGGTGGTCGAAGTTTTCGGAGCCCTCCACTATGGCGTCTCTCATAACCATATGGTGGTTTTGGGACGTTCACTCCACAAATAAATCAATTCAAATCATCAGCAATTTTATTGTGTGAACCGAGATATTTAGGCAGCACGTCACGCTTCCGGTCACAAGCGCGGCGAAGCACAACCCGAACTGCCACGTCCCACAATTCAAACGTGAAACTCCCCAAGCTGAGTCTGGCATGTGTTTCGCGCTTTTAAACTCTTGGAAGTTTGTGCTGTTTTCTTGAAAACGTCGAGACGACCTTCCTCGACAGTCCGAAATATCTCCAGCACATGCATTTGTGGTGAGCGTCGGAACACGCACCTCCACGCCCCACGTAAAATGAAGCTATGAGCTCTCAATTTTACTCTGTGTGTTATCTCTTACACGGTACATTTTCCCTTGTACGCTTTCCTCCTCCTCTCTTTCCTCCCCCTCTCGTGGCGGCGGCCCACACTCAAGTGCCACCGTCGCTCGGCAGACGGAAATAAACTATACCGCATGGAGGTCTTGTCTCGCACTCAGTCAATCCACCGCATACCCTCTACGCATTAAGTGTAGTTTGCGGAAGCAACTTGACCAAGTACGTACTATCACGATGAAAAAAAAAACGTAAATAGCGGTAAGCATTGCTATCGACTCAGTTGCCCGATTTTAGAATATGCTTGCACTGCCTGGGACCCGGCCGCAAAGTTAAATATTGGTGCATTGGAGCGCATTCAGAAACGAGCCGCCCGGTTTGTGACGGGTGATGACGACTTCACCAGAAGGTCTAGCGAAATTGTTAGTTCACTTGGTTGGCTGTTACTTTCCTCTAGGCGTAAATATATCAGGCTATGTCTTTTCTACAACCTAACAAGCGACAAAACTGGGATCGATAAAGGCAAATACATCAGACCACCAACATACATCTCATCACGACTGGACCATCCTTTGAAAGTATGTGAATATATGTGCCGAACATCAACGTATGCAAATACTTTTTTTCCTAAAACTATTCACGAATGAAACGGTCTTCCAAAAAACATTGTGACCGCCCCTTCCACAGCATTTCCTTCCCTTTTAAAGGAGTATGTGGTCACATAACGATATTGTATGCTGTGATTTAGGTGTTTTTGATTTGTTTTTATTTTTTGAGTGCCGTGCAATTCAACTTGTCCCCACTGATTTAAATGTACTTTGAATTTGTAAACCACCCTACAACAATGCCCCCAGAGGGCGCTGTAGGTATATGTATAAATAAATAAATAAATAAATAAATAATAAATAAATAAATAAATAAATAAATAAATAAATAAACGGCGACATGCCTTGACTGTCGCCAGGCAAAACATGTGCCTTCAGCCGGCGTCTCCATAGCCCTAAAAGCCCGCTCCGCCTTGCGCTCATGAACCGCATGTGTTTATTCGCTTGCCGGTCGTGTCTGGCAATCACAAAACACACGCAGTGCGCTAGTGCAAGCCAGAGCATGATTTTATTGCGCTGCAATGACGCCGGCTGAAAGCACATATTCAAATAGCGACATTCAAAGCATTTCACGCTTTGGCTGGCTTATCTTGCTCTAATCCGTCCTCAACTGGAGTTCACATCCTCCATTTGGTCCCCATATCAACAATACCTCATAGATAAGTTAGAATGTATACAGAACAGAGCTAGTCGATTCATAGCGCGTAATCACAGCTACCCGTCCAGCGTAACACAGATTAAACATAGCCTTGCACTCGAGCCACTGAAAATTCGCCGCGACATTTCACTTTTATCACTATTTCACAAACTCATCCACACCAGCATGATGCCATCAGTTCACCTTAATCTAGCACATCGAACTTCGAGCAGACTACATAACACCTTTAGCTTATCACGCATGTACGGCAATACTAACGCATTCAACCAGTCGGCTCTTCCACGAGCTATTCGTTTGTGGAATGATTTGCCAGATGATCTTGCGTCAGAACAAGACCACACGAAGTTCTATCATACTCTTAAAAAATACTTATGCACCAAAAACTGCTCTATCGCATCTTCGTAATCATCAGTGTTTATAGGACTGTTGCCGATGTTTTTGCACTATTGCTAGGTTGTAGTTACTGTCATAATAGTTTTTTTTTGTATTTCACCTTCACTTACTGTAACTCACTTTTCTAGTTTGTATTTTGCTTACATGTTCATAAGTAGAACTGCATTTTCTATCATATTCATTATTTGCCTATGTATGTGTAGATATTACGTATATGTATTTTTCTAACATATTATCTGTACCGCCCCCCTTACACAATGCCCCTCGAGGGCTCTGTAAGGTACTGTAAATAAATAAATAAATAAATAAATTTTGCAGTTTGACTGAGTCGGAAGCCGAGCTTTGAGCTGTTCACGTTTCTCTGCATCGCGATATTACACCGCTACATATGTACTCAACATGCGCAGGGTGTACATGTATGCGCGAGTTGTAATAACTCCTGTTAGTGGCAGCATGCGGCCTCTGAAAGAGTACGTCAATGATTTGGTGCCACAAACTACACGCATACTACATGCATATTACTGTTGCAAAGCGAAGTAGCTGGCGTCATGCTTGAACACACGCTGTCAGTGCAATAACTAGTATACGTTTACTGGGGCTCATAGTTTTAGGAGCTTGCTCGACAAGCTTCTTATGCTCGCGCCTTGTACGGCGGCGGTGGCGTCCGACGTGTACACCACTGTTGCCAGTGTACACTTCTCCGATCGCCGCTCATGACGTCTTCTCCGGTGATTCCAACAATGCTCACTAGATAGCGCGCCGCCACCATAGACGTCGCCGCGCCACGGTGGTCTTGTGGCTAAAGTACTCTGCTGCTGACCCCCAGGTCACGCAATCGAATCCCGGCTGTAGCGGCCGCATTTCCGATGGAGGTGGAGATGTTGTAGGTCTGTGTACTCAGATTTGGGTGCATGTTAAATGAATACTAAATTCAAATAATATTTTACGTCACAGTGAAAGCTCAATGTATGACAACCCCTAAAACGACAATATTATCGACAACAGTGCCTTACTTACGAGAAATAAGGGTAAATGTACAAAAACACAAGCGCCGCAGTAGGACATTTTCAAAATAATCCCGATGTCATCAGACGGACCGCCTACTTAATCACTAGTAATCGATCTGACTGCACTAAATAAAGAACTTTCCGTGCATCAAGACACGCAATAAAATGCTACTTGTTCTTTTCTGTTTGATTCATGGAAAAAAGAACCGCCGGACGTTACTATGCCGAATTGCGTGAGCGGTTCAAAAATTCAATTTTCGCGCGGTGACACGGGTCAGGCGGTGCCATCTTGCGGGGCGCAGTTGAAACAAAAGCGTCTGCAATCTCGGAGCCAATGGAGGGAAATTGATCACTGGCCGTTTTTGCTGCTGTGTCTCCCCCTGCTTTCGGTCTGCTGCTACTATCGCAGTAAAGCCGAGCAACGTCGTACTCGGCAACAGTGACGTAAGACGGACCGGTTGGTCCGCTTCTTGAGGCGGGTAATTTGAAGTGCGCTTACCTGATGCGGACCACTAAAACGTGATTTTGTTTCAAAATAGGCCCTTCCTTGGCACAAAAGTAACACTACGTGGTTTCTGGATTTTCATTTCAACAATCAACGTCAACTTAATAGTTGACTTTAGTGTCCATTTGAAGAACCCCAGGTGGTCGAAATTTCCAGAGCCCTCCACTACGGCGTCTCTAATAATCCTATGGTGGTTTTGGGACATTAAACCCCACAAATCAATCATCCGCCACCCAAGACGCCAGTTTTCGATGGCCCACACGCTCGCCTCCTCGTGACTACGTCTACTTCGTTCTCGTCGCATCGTAGGCATGACAGTACGTGACAAGTTCCTACGATGAGTGTTACGCAAAGCTATCGTCATCCTACCAAGCCCCCCCCCCCCTCACCTGCCTGCTCTCAACCCCGTCGAAAAGCACGTGATAGCTCCACGCCTGCCATTTATAAGAGGCAGGCATTTGACTCACAGCAGTGGCCAGTATGGCATTATGGGACAGGTGGTTGACATGGTCGACACTGAGCAGTGCCGGCCGTAGGAACGAGCCCGAAAACAGTGCCTTCGACGTAGACATCATGCGCCGGCTCGTTAACAGAAATGGTCTCGCCAGGAAGCGCCCCGTTCCCCTCCGAACAAGCTCGTCTAACATTCCTCACTTTGTGGATATGGCGGTGATTTTTTAAATGCGGAGCATTTCTTAGTCGCACTATGTTAAGCGTCATGTGTCGGCGGTGATGTCCACACCCCTACTGCGCTTGCTTGCGCCTCGTGTATCGTGCCGCTCTTGCGTTTCGTGCGAAATGTTTGCTTCCCCCCCCCCCCTTCTTTTTCTCGACTCGCATGGCCGACGCCGGCAGCGTCTAGCTAGTAAAGACCGACGGCTCGAGCCGCAAAACCGTTCACTGCCACCCCGTATATGTAAGCACTGGATCGCATATCATCATCCCACCACTCGTTTAGGCACGCTTCTCCTTCATTTAATAAAGAACAATAATCAAGACGACATAACAATTACGCATCCCAAACCACACTCAATTACGCAACATTCACGCGATACACCCACCACTCTGCGACGCATTTATTCGAGCACTCCCGGCGAGAAGATGCGGGTGGAATTTCTTCATGTTGATTGCTATCTTCCGCTGGCGGTGGAGCTCGACGTTTATTGTTGCGGTTAAAAATCTGTGCAACTTGGGAACACCTGGCACGATTCCCATATCGTGCTGTGATCATCCCAGACAATGCTGAGCAATATCTTCCTCTTGCGCTGACTGTTTTTGCTTGTAAAGACAACGTAGTGGTGCCAGAGAACTTGGGAGCGGGAGCGGCGTGAATAGGTGCTTTCTCGTATTTTAAAGTAACAGAAACCCCGCTAGTCGTGTTAGGTGCAACAGATACACACCTTGGTAGTACAGTTCTAACGAAATTCCGTCTGAGTGTGAGGGTATGCCTGGGAGCCCAGGCGCCTGGGCGCAGATAGGTGCTCTCTGGTCTATAGAAGCTTGGAGTGTCCATGTTCCAGGGCTTTCTGCTCATTAATGTGTCTGTCTTCATAGCTATTGTGCGATTTGCCCAATGGAAAGCAAGACGTATTATTTCGGGCTTTTGTGTTTTCTAATATGCGCTTGAAAGTACACGAATGTGAAACTGATGCGGCTGAAGAGAATAGTAACACACACACAAACACACACACACACACACACACACACACACACACACACACACACACACACACACACACACACACACACGCACGCACGCACACACGGCACGCGCACGCACAACGCTTCGTGTGCGCGTCGTCCTTTCTTAGCGTGTCTTAAAGGGACACTAAACGAAACATTGAGTTGGTTTAGATTGATAAACTACCCTCTGAAAACTCTAATGACATATATTTCACCGTCATAAGTTCATTCTTAGCGGAGAAAATCAAAGAAGCTTCAATTTTTAATTTCGTGCCGGAATCTCAGCGCGTTTATTAACGTGCTTCAAAATGTACTTTTCGTATTTTTGTGGCATTGGCTCGATAAAATTTCCAAAACTTCGTGTGCTATAAGTCTGTGGTGCCCCCTGATGAGAATGCACTACTTCATTTTTATCGAGTAGATGCTATGTGAACCCAGTAGACGCCTTCAAAATTTTCTACGCCATAGAATTTGATTCGGAAATCTTATGGTGGCATCTCAACTGCATTTTCTTTTCGTACGTTTTCTCGTTTACAAAGCGTCAAGTGGCGGTAAGAGCGCTAGATGTTTTCGGGATCGCGAAATTGTCCTTTACTAACGCAAAAAAAATGTTTCGCTTGGTAGTGTCTTTTCAATTTACGCCCACAAACGATGTTTACCGCACCACTAAGCCCCCGACTGGTAGTCCGTAGAATCCAGAGTCCAGACCACTCTTCTGACCACGCTACTACCCATGGAAGCAAGTAAACAAATGTAAACACCTTACTTTAACAACGCTCTTCGGGTCTTTTCTTTGGATCCCAATGAATCCGCTTGCAACACTTTCGTACGGTTCCAGATCAAGTCGTTCTCGTGCCTGGTGCGCATATGAATACCTCGGATCGTTGGTGGCCACCTTATAGGAAAAGACAGAGGAGCAACATGTCTGAGCATCACCAACTATATGACAGCAGGTGCATGGCCATCCACAATCTTTACTAGCGTTAATTAGGTTTGGTTTGCATCTGACTTTTTTCATACGTGCACATGTTAACACATGAGACAAATAGTAGGCCTCATCTTCGAGTTTTTCATTTTTTTGATGAAATGAACTACAAAGCAACGTATAATGCACGTTTGTGACACAGGAGCTTGTAACTTTCGTGAATCACAATTTCCTTGTGCCACTTTTCCTGGAGCCAACAAAAATAGTATCTGGAATTCCCTGACCACCCCATGATTTACGCCAATGACTCCGACACCAGAATTTTCGTGAGACAAGCTCTTTAACGTCGTCGCATTAATATTCAATTTTCTCCGAATGACTAGCCATGAAAGATTCCGTGTTGTACTTACTGGTTTTTTGCGAACACGTTTATGGTCCTCCAATGGCCCCAGTATGTCAAAGAATCGCGAATTGTTTCTCACCTCGATAGAAAGCATGTCGTCGTTGTTGGAGGTGGGAATGAAGAACGTTACCACTCCGTCACTGCCAGTCGTAGCTTCTTCGGCTTTTCCCGAGGGCAGTAAGATCTTCATTGGTACATCTCGAGCTGGGTTTCCATTGAGGTACGTCAGTTCGACCTGCATGTGGTGCATATATGGCGTAGCTATTGGCCTGCTGTACGATCGATGGTACACGCACTGCGAACCGCGCTTGTATGACGTCACTTCAAGAATTCGCGCGCTTTCGAGGCGCGGCGCCGGGTAGAAACCACCATCGTGGTAAAACTCGATAGCGAAGCAGTTCAATTGGTTATATTGTGTGTGGTGGCTACCGACGCTGTTCTAACAGCCGTAGGTGTCCGCTTTTAACGCTCATTTTCAAAGCACTGTGTATTGTTTCTTGAAACTGCGGCCACTTGTCTCTGCGGCGAGTGCTGCGCAATGGTGAAGGATTTCTCTTGTGCCTCTATGTTGTTCCGTGAAGGCACCCGGGAAACACACCCAGGAAAAGGACGTTAGCTTTCACAACTATTTCAAGGACCCGAAGCTCAGGAAGAAGTGGATAGTCAAACTCAGAAAGGGAAAGCACCCCACGCCTTCATCGCACATGTGCATTGAGCACTTTGCTGACAGTTATTTTTGACATGGTAGACGAAGAAGTGCTACCATGCAGCACCAACCAGCCCAATCAAGCACTTTGTTAGACTTTTGCTATACACGCCCTACGCGCCACTCTTTGGTAACCGTGTTTCAGTGCCTCGCCAGTACTTCAGCTATTCATTGCACGCAGGCTACAAGTGTAGACGACTTATACCTTGTGAGGTGCCGTCCCAAAACCTATCGCGAAGGCCCCTAGACAGGGAGCCGACGACGCGGCCTCCGCATCGCCTCGGGCAACCATCTTGAGCGCAGCTGAGCGAGTGATGCTTCTGAGACTACGAGACTACGTCTGAAACTACGGCTTTATTTGGTTGGTGTACGTACGTAGTTTACTGATGAAGACAAGTGCACGCCTAGTGCACTTCTTACCATAAATTTGTAAGCGAAACCTGCGGCCACTGTTCAGTTACCTACCTAATGTACATTACCTGAGGTTGTCACCTAAGGCACTGCCGAAACTTTAAGCGGAGCACCTTAAGCTTTCTTTGTGCTACGTGCGTGAATGCAAGCTCACCCAGCTTGCCTTTGCTACGTTAATTTTTGTGGCCCTGGGCACAGGTATACATAATCAGAGATAACTAGTTGTTATATTCTGATACTCAACTGACGGCCCTGTGCGGTATTAATGTGAACTACTTCGTCATGTCGTTTTCACTGAGCAAATATTACCGAGACAAATTGCAGCCATTTTCATGAGCCAGGGGGTGCAATAAGGCGGAACTTGCGAGTCACACCAGCAATCGCCCCTCAAGACTACTCTTACTGCGATACAACACGGGCTTGCACCCAGTGCCACGTGTCATGGCACAGTGCCATGGAAACAGGAGTGTTGTGGACCAGTGCCACGACCACCAAGCACCGGTAGCAGGCGCGCGCCGCGCTGCGTTGCTTTGACGCATGCGCTTTTGAGCGCGCCCGGCGTCCCTCCGTCCCGAAGAGAGGCAGACGTGGTGCTGTCTGGGTAACGTCATCGGTGCGAAATGCAGCATGTCGCAATTCGCACCGGTTGCCACCGGGTCGCGCCGATGGACGCTGATCGCGCCGGTCGCGCCTGGCGTCAGACTGTAGAGTGCTCACGTTTTGCTAGCGTAGCGTCGCTGCGCCCAGCGTGCGTGCGCGTCAACGTTATGTTGGAATATATTGGGCTCTTTAGAAGCCAACATGGCAGCGCCGATGCAGACGCGACCGCCCGCTCGATACAAACTCTCGTTTGCTATTCGCCGTGTGTCGTCACAGGAATAAATAAAAGGTGAAATCAGCTACCCCTTCGTGTCCTCTCACGTTGGGGACAAAAAAACTAGGTATGTTCTGTTTTTAATAAGGAGATTAGCTGTGTTTATTTAGCCTTGCCTGCTAAGCATTGTCAATGAGAATTGGAGAATGAATCGTGAAAACACTGCAAAAATCTGATGAATACAATGTTCTCGAAGCTTAAGAACATAAATATAAAGCAAATAAACGCGTACGCTGTGAACTTACGGGTCACACACCGCAGGATGACGAAGTGGTGAAATCTAGGCGGAAGGAAACTGCTCCCTCAGGGGCCGCCATGTTGACCGTTCCCTACCATGGCAGTCTTTCTGCCGTGACTTTTTACAGCTGTGCTGAACATCCGGATCGCATCGTCTTCTCGGCGTCCCTATGGCGTCTGCTTAGATTTTACTCACGTGCGCACAACGCTACGGGGATGCTGAGCAGACGACGCAATGCGGATGTTAAGCAGTGCCGCAGAAGGCCACAGCAGAAAGACTGCCATGGTAGAAAAACGTCTACTGTGTTGTGGCGCCAGCTAGATTTCAATGAGCAAATCACACACACAGACACACACACACACACACACACACACACACACACACACACACACACACACACACACACACACACACACACACACATATATATATATATATATATATATATATATATATATATATATATATATATATATATATATATATATATATATATATATATATATATACATATATATATATATATATAGGAAGGAAGGCGCTTCCATAATTTTAAGTCTTACGTCCTAAAAATCTACATTGCTATGTGAGACGCCGTAGGGGAGGGCTCCGGAAATTTGGGCATCAGGTGTTCTTTCACGTGCACTGACACACACAGTACACGGGTTTCTACCTTGCGCTTCTATGAAAATGCGACCGCCGCGGCAGGGAACCTGCGACTGTAGGGTCTGGTAGTGCCGAAACTGAATCGTAAATGCTTTTGCGCGTCGTATAATTAATGCTAGCGTCGTTAATATAGAATGATTTGGCGTCAGTTTGAAACACCTGCCTAAATACCATAAGAAACTAGCGTCCCACAGAGGCGCAGCACTTGAGACTATGTGTGTCGAAGCTTCGGTGATGCTGAACGAGCTGTTTTCATATATGAAGAACTGCGGGTGGGGAAGAATTGAAACGATGTAAGTGCTTTGAGCGGGTCCCCTTCAGAAAAAAAGAAAAGTATTCCCGTCGTAAGCAACAAAAACCACCTTGAAAACATTAAAAACAGAGCAAAAGTGGTGACGAACAGTAGTCCTTGCCGGGTGCCAGTCGGGGTATTGTGCGCGACCCGTTAATGTTCTTTGACGCTGACAATACTTGCTTGACCTATGCAACGTCAAGAGGGGCCGCTGTCTACGCCAAACCACATAAAATGTGGATTAGAGCTGAATACTCGGATGAGCAAGCACTTCCTTCTTTAAAAACCAAATTAAAATACCTAATCAGAGAACGGTCGTCACTAATAATCGGTCAGAGGTGGTCCCGCATGCAGGACTATCAAACAACACAAGCATCCCAAGTTTTCAATTTTGGCATGAGGGGTCCTTTAAAGACGGAAATCCTTTTGTATCTGAGGCAGTATACAAAGAAATTTTATCGTTTTTTGTGCACAACAGTGTGGCCTATCTGAGACCGTATGATTATTACGCGTGATGTTTCGCATCGAACCAGTAAAAACGTACGGCCTATGTAGTCACTCCCACGTGGTAATGCGTCACTTCGGACCACAAAAATAGCCGCTGTGTGTCGCGCTAGTCTGAAAGCAGCGTGGTTTCTCCAGAGAAATAAAATTATAACAGCTTTTATTTTGTGTTTCCCGTCGCGCAACGATATTGGTGCATTCGAGAAGAAGCGATGAAAACAACACGTTTAATTTGTGTCGCAGCGCCCCTCTAAAAGACCCCTGATGTCAAACTTAGAAATTCCAGATGATTATGTTGTTAGAGAGTCTGACAGATGCAGGCTAGAAGAACTGAGAATTTCCGTGACAGACTCTGTCCTTCGATATTAGGAGCATAAAAGTCGTACCTCTGAATTTTTTTCGATTGTTTCTTTAGATAATTTTGATGAGGGATTCATACCACCGATGCGTACTCAAGAACTGAACTTACAAAAGTTTTGTAAGCAAGAAGCTTCACATCGGCTGTTGCACCTGCTAGTTTTCCTCGCAGGAAATATAGCCTCACGTACGTATGCCTTTGAAGAAACGTTTGATTGTGCGTACGTTCTAGAATAATCCAGGGTTTTACGCATGAATCTAGGATTTTCGGCCATCACTAATACTGTAAATCTTGCAATAAATAGCGCTATCGATGGTCTTTTAACACAAAATTGTTTTATTTCAGGGTCCACCAAGACTTTAGTGACGTATTTCCGTCACACATATCACTTTGTACAATTACCGCTACCAAATGAGCAAGCAAAAACATTCAACACAAAGTTCCCCTGCTGGGCGTCGAACCTCCGACTTAACGGGAAACGACGAAGAGTGCCAGGTGCTCTACCGACTAAGCTATAGGCATCGTACACTGGCCAGAGAGAGCGGCGTTCCTCGCCCTGCCCCGTCCCAAGTTCGCTGACATTGGCCGTAAGGGGCACGCAGAAAGCAGATGTGCGCAAGCGTTCTCCATGTAGCCCGGCCACAAGCCACCCACTCGTGCAGGCAGGGAGACCTGTGCGTCGCGTTCGATTTCCACCGACACCGTCTCAATGTTGCTTTTCTCATCCACTAGGCTTTGAGTACTGACGCAGCAGTCAGATTAAAAAACTCGACTGGGTGGTGCCTATTCAGGCGACTAGTTCTACCTCGCGAACGCGCCTGATATCTTTCTCACATTCTCTTTCAGTCTGTGTTTTCTGTTGGCGAAGCAGGGTTGTGCTGCCGTCTGTAAGTGCTCAAGCGAAGTAATGCGGCATGACGCAGTTAAAGCACGGCGTCAGAGATTGTGCGCCGGTGCTAAAGCAGTAATGTTATTTGCCTTTAGCTTCGTGTGAGCACGTGACGACTGGTCGTTGTTGAAGTCGTGGAGCTTCCACTTGCACCAACGACGTTTCACCGGTGACTACTTCTAGTGTGATAGCACCGGCTTATTCAATAAAACTGCTGTAGTAAGCCAATGATGTCGACGGGTCAATGTCGTGCATTCGTAGAGCGAAACGGAGGTCAGCAGGACGTGAAGGAGGAGG